TTCCTCCACCTAGGCTCTAAACTTCTCAAAAAGTTCTCATATACAGGCTCCTATTCTTAGATAGGGAATTTTCCATTGTTCTTCCTCTGCCTAAGGCTCTTGTTTTACCCCAGTGAGTGAAGCGCCTGAGTCCCCTTTAGAGGGAGCCTTTTCCAGGCCTTTAAGTCTCATAGAAATCTCATAAAGCGTCTCCAATTCGAGACCACCTTTTATGACTAATAGCTCCTTCCTCTGGGAACCATGGACACAAGTTTCTAACAAAATCAAAAAATCTCAAATCACTTGTCTTAACCTTTACCCCTCGCGTCTTGAGTGCCTTTTGTAATTGCCTTACATACATTTCATGACCGCTTAATTCTTGCCCCATATTCAGACACAATCACTAACCTCAGTATCAATGCAGCAGGTTCCTGCGAAGCCAAGGTTCCTTTTTTAAAATTTTTATTTTTATTTTTATTTTTTTTTCTTAAAAGATGACCGGTAAGGGGATCTTAACCCTNAATTAACTTGCATAGCCAGGAGCAATCAGTTTCTGGCATAAGCAGATTTCGAGGCAGTTATGTAAAGCACGGCCATCTGAGCAGATTGTCAGGTAGGAGCGGTCTCACAAGTAGGGGTGTGGGGCTATAGGTCCCCAACAGTTGGCCATTTGTGTATTGTCTTTGGAGAAACGTCTATTCAAGTCCCTATCCCAATTTTTAATAGGGTTATTATTATTATTACCTTTACTATTGAATTATAGAAATTCCTTATATATTTTGGAGATTAACCCCTTATGTATGGTTTGCAACTAGTTTTCTCCCATTCCATAGGTTGCCTTTTCACTCTGATGATTGTTTGCTGTGCAGAAGCCTTACAGTTTGATGTAGTCCCACTTGTTTATTTTTGTTGTTGTTGTTGTTGCCTGTGCTTTTGTGGTAATTTCCGTGAAATCATTGCCAGGACCAATACCATCTTTTGTCTGCCCATTCATACACAGAGGGACATTTAGGCTGTTTCCACCCTTTGGCTATAGTGAATAGTGTTGTTATGAACATTTGCATACAAGTATCTGTATGAGTATATGTTTTCAATTTATTTTGGGTCTATCCCTAGTAGTAGAATTTCTGGATCACATAGTAATTCTATGTTTAGCTTTTTTTTTCTTTCAAAAGATGACCAGTAAGGGGATCTTAACCCCTGACTTGGTGTTGTCAGCACCACGCTCAGCCAGTGAGCTAACTGGCCATCCCTATATGGGATCCGAACCCATGGCCTTGGTGTTATCAGCACCGCACTCTCCCGAGTGAGCCACAGGCCGGCCCTATGTTTAGCTTTTTGAGGAGCCACCAGACTGTGCCTGACTCTTTATCTCTTGTGCCCCATGCAGAAGATGGCACAGAAAAGGCCTCAATAAATACTTGCTACCTGGAAGGCTGGATGAATGAGGCAAAACTTAGACAGATGAATGGTTGGATGAATGAAAAGGAAGATGGAGAAAGGGAAAGGTGGATGAGGAGTTGGAAGGCTGGATGGCTTCTCTGACTCTCTAATTCTCTGGGTCTCTTCTACTCCAGGGTCCCCCCAGCTGCGCCTGGTGGCCGGGCCCAGCAGGTGCTCAGGCCGGTTGGAGGTGTGGCATGATGGGCGCTGGGGGACTGTGTGTGATGATAGCTGGG